AATGAGAGCTGAGACGTGGCTGGGGTTCGGCTTATAGGGTTTACTCTACAGTAACTGTGTCATTGAGAGCTGAGACGTGGCTGGGGTTTGGGTTATAGGGTTTACTCTACAGTAAATGTGTCATTGAGAGCCGAGACGGGGCTGGGGTTTGGGTTATAGGGTTTACTCTACAGTAAATGTGTCATTGAGAGCCGAGACGTGGCTGGGGTTTGGGTTATAGGGTTTACTCTACAGTAACTGTGTCAATGAGAGCCGAGACGTAGCTGGGGTTTGGGTTATAGGGTTTACTCTACAGTAACTGTGTCAATGAGAGCCGAGACGTGGCTGGGGTTTGGGTTATAGGGTATACTCTACAGTAACTGTGTCATTGAGAGCCGAGACGTGGCTGGGGTTTGGGTTATAGGGTTTACTCTACAGTAACGGTGTCATTGAGAGCCGAGACGTGGCTGGGGTTTGGGTTATAGGGTTTACTCTACAGTAACTGTGTCAATGAGAGCCGAGACGGGGCTGGGGTTTGGGTTATAGGGTTTACTCTACAGTAACTGTGTCAATGAGAGCCGAGACGTGGCTGGGGTTCGGGTTATAGGGTTTACTCTACAGTAACTTTGTCATTGAGAGCCGAGACGTGGCTGGGGTTTGGGTTATAGGGTTTACTCTACAGTAACTGTGTCATTGAGAGCCGAGACGTGGCTGGGGTTCGGGTTATAGGGTTTACTCTACAGTAACTGTGTCAATGAGAGCCGAGACGTGGCTGGGGTTTGGGTTATAGGGTTTACTCTACAATAACTGTGTCATTGAGAGCCGAGACGTGGCTGGGGTTCGGGTTATAGGGTTTACTCTACAGTAACTGTGTCATTGAGAGCCGAGACGTGGCTGGGGTTTGGGTTATAGGGTTTACTCTACAGTAACTGTGTCAATGAGAGCCGAGACGTGGCTGGGGTTCGGGTTATAGGGTTTACTCTACAGTGACTGTGTCAATGAGAGCCGAGACGTGGCTGGGGTTCGGGTTATAGGGTTTACTCTACAGTAACTGTGTCAATGAGAGCCGAGACGGGACTGGGGTTTGGGTTATAGGGTTTACTCTACAGTAACTGTGTCAATGAGAGCCGAGACGTGGCTGGGGTTTGGGTTATAGGGTTTACTCTACAGTAACTGTGTCATTGAGAGCCGAGACGTGGCTGGGGTTTTGGTTATAGGGTTTACTCTACAGTAAATGTGTCATTGAGAGCCGAGACGGGGCTGGGGTTTGGGTTATAGGGTTTACTCTACAGTTACGGTGTCATTGAGAGCCGAGACGTGGCTGGGGTTTGGGTTATAGGGTTTACTCTAAAGTAACTGTGTCAATGAGAGCCGAGACGTAGCTGGGGTTTGGGTTATAGTGTTTACTCTACAGTAATTGTGTCAATGAGAGCCGAGACGTGGCTGGGGTTTGGGTTATAGGGTTTACTCTACAGTAACTGTGTCATTGAGAGCCGAGACGTGGCTGGGGTTTGGGTTATAGGGTTTACTCTACAGTAACTGTGTCATTGAGAGCCGAGACGTGGCTGGGGTTTGGGTTATAGGGTTTACTCTACAGTAACGGTGTCATTGAGAGCCGAGACGTGGCTGGGGTTTGGGTTATAGGGTTTACTCTACAGTAACTGTGTCATTGAGAGCCGAGACGTGGCTGGGATTCGGGTTATAGGGTTTACTCTACAGTAACTGTGTCAATGAGAGCCGAGACGTGGCTGGGGTTTGGGTTATAGGGTTTACTCTACAGTAAATGTGTCAATGAGAGCCGAGACGGGCTGGGGTTTGGGTTATAGGGTTTACTCTACAGTAACTGTGTCAATGAGAGCCGAGACGTGGCTGGGGTTCGGGTTATAGGGTTTACTCTACAGTAACTGTGTCATTGAGAGCCGAGACGTGGCTGGGGTTCGGGTTATAGGGTTTACTCTACAGTAACTGTGTCATTGAGAGCCGAGACATGGCTGGGGTTTGGGTTATAGGGTTTACTCTACAGGAAATGTGTCAATGAGAGCCGAGACGGGGCTGGGGTTGGGGTTATAGGGCTTGCTCTACAGTAACTGTGTCAATGAGAGCCGAGACGGGGCTGGGGTTTGGGTTATAGGGTTTACTCTACAGTAACTGTGTCAATGAGAGCCGAGACGGGGCTGGGGTTTGGGTTATAGGGTTTGCTCTACAGTAACTGTGTCAATGAGAGCCGAGACGGGGCTGGGGTTTGGGTTATAGGGTTTACTCTACAGTAACTGTGTCAATGAGAGCCGAGACGGGGCTGGGGTTTGGGTTATAGGGTTTGATCTACAGTAACTGTGTCAATGAGAGCCGAGACGTGGCTGGGGTTGGGGTTATATGGTTTGCTCTACAGTAACTGTGTCAATGAGAGCCGAGACGTGGCTGGGGTTCGGGTTATAGGGTTTGCTCTACAGTAACTGTGTCAATGAGAGCCGAGACGGGGCTCTCATTGACACTGTATACAAAATACAAAAAAACTTTGAGATTCAATGTATTATAAATGTCACAGATCACTATTTTCCAGACACAAAATTTGATCTTTTAACCTCTAAACTTTTGTCAGACTTAATCATAACAATGTTGATATTCAGATGAAATAACATAAGGGGCCCTATTTTAACGATCTGAAACTCAAGTGTCAAAGCGCAAAGCGCAAGTAACTTTGTGGGCGGATTCCGGCGCTGTTGCTATTTTCCCAGCGGGATAAATGCCTCTTGCGCCTGGCGCAAATCTAAAAGGGGTTGGTCTGAAGTAGCTTCATTATTCATAGGTGTGGTTTGGGCGAACGTGAAATAAACCAATCAGAGCGTCATTTCACATTCCCTTTGAGAGCAGGCGCGCTTGTTCTAAAGCCGATTCCTATTATAACGGCGGATTTGCCAGGCGCGCGACAGGAGCGGTTCACAGCCGAGGAGAGCAACGTTCTTGTCAGGGCCGTAAAACACAGAGAAGTGACATTGAGGATGGAGAAATCCACCCAAATTAACTTCTGTTAAACAGGCGTATGATAATTTGGGTAAATGTGTAAGCTACATGTATGCTTTTATAATAAATTGTCTATCTATCTATCTATCTATCTATCTATCTATCTATCTATCTATCTATCTATCTATCTATCTATCTATCTATCTATCTATCTATCTCTCTATCTATCGTAATAATGTATGATTTGCAAAAATGAAAACTGCTGCTTAGATGAGAGAATCAAAGTGTATGCGCGTTGTGCACACGCTACATTGATTATGGCCAAGCATGCGCCCTTAAAATAGCATAATGAACAACGCGCAACGCGCCACTGACTTTAGACTAGGTTTTTTCTGGTCAGTGGCACAATTGTTTTATAGAACAGCAAAATAGCATGAGGGAAAGTTTGCGCCGGAACACGCCTCCTCTTTGCGCTGAACCGCCCCGGGGAGCGCAAGTGTATTTCTTAGTTAACCGACGTGCGTCTGTGGAGGGAAAAGTCTGCTTTGCGCGGGTGCAAAATAGGAATGATACATGCGTCAGTGTACAAAGTCATTTGCGCCGGGTGCAAGATAGGGCCCAAGAAGTGTATATTGTATATGTATAAGTACATATATTGATGAAATGTGTTGAGATGAGATTTTGTAGCATCTATAATCAAGATTAAAGTATGGATTTGCACCTTTCTTACAATATATTCAAGTTTGATCAGGTGAGTTGAACAAGGACCGAGATCATCAAGAACATGCAGCAAAGATGGGACGGTAGTTTGAGTTTTCAGAAGTAATGCTGAGGATCTTTGCTCTCGGGCACCAGGAGTGACTTCAGACAAGCACAGCTTTGTTCATTCATCCAACGGTCTCTTTCCCAGCTCATGTTCAGCTCTGTGGGCCTCAGACATTAACACCAGCAGAATGAGTTTCTGTGTAAATCATGCATACATACATTCAAATTGTTTCAATAACAGCAACAGATTAAATTAGTTTTCATTTAATGAATGAGGCTCATACACATTCGGGCATTTGTGCTTCATTTGCATTTAAGGTTTTTTTTTTTTTTTTGGATCAATATCAATCATCAATCATCCACTGTCATTATATTTAGTGCGTTTAGAAAAACAGAATAATCTGTGCAGGATCTGTTATTTCACATGTTAAGAGGGTGTTTATACAGACGGGTTGTGTACACACACACACACACACACACACACACACGCACGTGTGTGTGTGTGTGTGTGTGTGTGTGTGTATGTGTGGCATGTAGAGAGTGAACAGCAGCGGTCCTAGTACTGAGCCTTGTGGTACTCCATACTGAACTTGTGATCAATAAGACATCTCTTCATTTACTGCTACAAACTGATAACGGTCAGATAAGTGTGATTTAAACCATGCTAATGCAATTTCACTAATGCCAACATAATTTCATTCCGCATCTATTCAAAACAATGTTGTGGTTGATGGTATCAAATGCAGCACTAAGATCCAGTAACAGTAAGTCCTCTGCACAGACCCCTATGACCAGCTTATGACCATTTAAATTCTCAACGATATCAATCAACATTCTGACTTGTAACGCTGCCTGAATCATAATGGCCAGAGGAGAACCGAGCGACTGAACCTGGTTTATCCCGAGGGTTCCTCATTCTGTCTCTGATGGAGTTTGTGTTCCTGCCACTGTCGCCTCTGGCTTCATTAGGGTTAGGGTTAATACACTTAATATTCAACAATATTATTGATCTGACTGTCCTGACGCTGCTGTATGAGAACTGAGCTGAGGTGGATAATGACTGTTTACTATTGTGTTTTTAAGTATCATTGAATCATTATTTTCCCATTTATCCCTGTAAAGCTGCTTTGAAACAATCTCTACTGTATAAAGCGCTATAGAAATAAAGGTGATTTGACTTGACATAGCATCCTAAAAAGAGAATACCTCATGAAGTTTATTATTGTGGGAGACAATGTCATTCTTATGATGATGTATTGTCACATAAATAAGCTATTATTGGCGCTGTGTTGTAGATTGATCTGTATGCGCAGAGTGACCTGAAGAAGGGGCTCCAGCTGTTCGAGACGGACGGCAACATCGGCCTGACCAACGCCTGGAGCATCGTCCAAACCGACGTGCGTTCACGTCATCTCTGCACTTATTACTCTTTCCCAGACCATGGCAAGATATTGTAACGGTTTTGGTTTTGGTGTGATGATAGTGCTCTGTGTTGCAGTTTCGCTGCTGTGGAGTGACCAATCACACGGACTGGTTTCACGTGTACAACGCCACGCGTGTGCCGGACTCCTGCTGTCTGGAGTACAGCGATAACTGCGGCCTGGAGAATCCCGGCACCTGGTGGACGGCTGTAAGACACACCACACACTGCCCATCCTCAGTTTAACATGACTGTATGTGAGCAGGAATTATACAGTAACGGAGTAACGGACGGTGTGTGTGAGTGTGAGTAACGGACGGTGTGTGTGAGTGTGAGTAACGGACGTGTGTGTGAGTGTGAGTAACGGACGTGTGTGTGAGTGTGAGTAACGGACGTGTGTGTGAGTGTGAGTAACGGACGGTGTGTGTGAGTGTGAGTAACGGACGTGTGTGTGAGTGTGAGTAACGGACGTGTGTGTGAGTGTGAGTAACGGACGTGTGTGTGAGTGTGAGTAACGGACGGTGTGTGTGAGTGTGAGTAACGGACGTGTGTGTGAGTGTGAGTAACGGACGGTGTGTGTGAGTGTGAGTAACGGACGGTGTGTGTTAGTGTGAGTAACGGACGTGTGTGTGAGTGTGAGTAACGGACGTGTGTTTGAGTGTGAGTAACGGACGTGTGTGTGAGTGTGAGTAACGGACGTGTGTGTGAGTGTGAGTAACGGACGTGTGTGTGAGTGTGAGTAACGGACGTGTGTGTGAGTGTGAGTAACGGACGTGTGTGTGAGTGTGAGTAACGGACGTGTGTGTGAGTGTGAGTAACGGACGTGTGTGTGAGTGTGAGTAACGGACGGTGTGTGTGAGTGTGAGTAACGGACGTGTGTGTGAGTGTGAGTAACGGACGGTGTGTGTGAGTGTGAGTAACAGACGGTGTGTGTGAGTGTGAGTAACGGACGTGTGTGTGAGTGTGAGTAACGGACGGTGTGTGTGAGTGTGAGTAACGGACGTGTGTGTGAGTGTGAGTAACGGACGTGTGTGTGAGTGTGAGTAACGGACGTGTGTGTGAGTGTGAGTAACGGACGTGTGTGTGAGTGTGAGTAACGGACGGTGTGTGTGAGTGTGAGTAACGGACGTGTGTGTGTGTGTGAGTGTGAGTAACGGACGTGTGTGTGAGTGTGAGTGACGGACGTGTGTGTGAGTGTGAGTGACGGACGTGTGTGTGAGTGTGAGTAACGGACGGTGTGTGTGAGTGTGAGTAACGGACGTGTGTGTGAGTGTGAGTAACGGACGTGTGTGTGAGTGTGAGTAACGGACGTGTGTGTGAGTGTGAGTAACGGACGTGTGTGTGAGTGTGAGTAACGGACGTGTGTGTGAGTGTGAGTAACGGACGGTGTGTGTGAGTGTGAGTAACGGACGTGTGTGTGAGTGTGAGTAACGGACGGTGTGTGTGAGTGTGAGTAACGGACGGTGTGTGTGAGTGTGAGTAACGGACGTGTGTGTGAGTGTGAGTAACGGACGTGTGTGTGAGTGTGAGTAACGGACGTGTGTGTGAGTGTGAGTAACGGACGGTGTGTGTGAGTGTGAGTAACGGACGTGTGTGTGAGTGTGAGTAACGGACGTGTGTGTGAGTGTGAGTAACGGACGTGTGTGTGAGTGTGAGTAACGGACGTGTGTGTGAGTGTGAGTAACGGACGGTGTGTGTGAGTGTGAGTAACGGACGTGTGTGTGTGTGTGAGTGTGAGTAACGGACGTGTGTGTGAGTGTGAGTGACGGACGTGTGTGTGAGTGTGAGTAACGGACGGTGTGTGTGAGTGTGAGTAACGGACGTGTGTGTGAGTGTGAGTAACGGACGGTGTGTGTGAGTGTGAGTAACGGACGGTGTGTGTGAGTGTGAGTAACGGACGTGTGTGTGAGTGTGAGTAACGGACGTGTGTGTGAGTGTGAGTAACGGACGGTGTGTGTGAGTGTGAGTAACGGACGTGTGTGTGAGTGTGAGTAACGGACGTGTGTGTGAGTGTGAGTAACGGACGGTGTGTGTGAGTAACGGACGTGTGTGTGAGTGTGAGTAACGGACGTGTGTGTGAGTGTGAGTAACAGACGTGTGTGTGAGTGTGAGTAACGGACGGTGTGTGTGAGTGTGAGTAACGGACGTGTGTATGAGTGTGAGTAACGGACGTGTGTGTGAGTGTGAGTAACGGACGTGTGTGTGAGTGTGAGTGACGGACGTGTGTGTGAGTGTGAGTAACGGACGGTGTGTGTGAGTGTGAGTAACGGACGTGTGTGTGAGTGTGAGTAACGGACGGTGTGTGTGAGTGTGAGTAACGGACGTGTGTGTGAGTGTGAGTAACGGACGTGTGTGTGAGTGTGAGTAACGGACGTGTGTGTGAGTGTGAGTAACGGACGTGTGTGTGAGTGTGAGTAACGGACGTGTGTGTGAGTGTGAGTAACAGACGTGTGTGTGAGTGTGAGTAACGGACGGTGTGTGTGAGTGTGAGTAACGGACGTGTGTGTGTGTGTGAGTGTGAGTAACGGACGTGTGTGTGAGTGTGAGTAACGGACGTGTGTGTGAGTGTGAGTGACGGACGTGTGTGTGAGTGTGAGTAACGGACGGTGTGTGTGAGTGTGAGTAACGGACGTGTGTGTGAGTGTGAGTAACGGACGCTGTGTGTGAGTGTGAGTAACGGACGGTGTGTGTGAGTGTGAGTAACGGACGTGTGTGTGAGTGTGAGTAACGGACGTGTGTGTGAGTGTGAGTAACGGACGGTGTGTGTGAGTGTGAGTAACGGACGTGTGTGTGAGTGTGAGTAACGGACATGTGTGTGAGTGTGAGTAACGGACGGTGTGTGTGAGTAACGGACGTGTGTGTGAGTGTGAGTAACGGACGTGTGTGTGAGTGTGAGTAACAGACGTGTGTGTGAGTGTGAGTAACGGACGGTGTGTGTGAGTGTGAGTAACGGACGTGTGTATGAGTGTGAGTAACGGACGTGTGTGTGAGTGTGAGTAACGGACGTGTGTGTGAGTGTGAGTTACGGACGTGTGTGTGAGTGTGAGTAACGGACGGTGTGTGTGAGTGTGAGTAATGGACGTGTGTGTGAGTGTGAGTAACGGACGGTGTGTGTGAGTGTGAGTAACGGACGGTGTGTGTGAGTGTGAGTAACGGACGTGTGTGTGAGTGTGAGTAACGGACGTGTGTGTGAGTGTGAGTAACGGACGTGTGTGTGAGTGTGAGTAACGGACGTGTGTGTGAGTGTGAGTAACGGACGGTGTGTGTGAGTGTGAGTAACGGACGGTGTGTGTGAGTGTGAGTAACGGACGTGTGTGTGAGTGTGAGTAACGGACGTGTGTGTGAGTGTGAGTTGTATGGTTGCGGTTGGGTTGCGGAGAGTTTGGGTTGCGGAGAGTTTTGAGATTATGGTTTTCTAACACCTACTCCCGTGTAATGGAAATCATTATGAACATCAGCTATGCTAATTATTTCCCATCTGCCTTTCTGCTGTTATCTCGGGACGCTTGTCCCGAGAAAAATGGCGTTCGTAGGCTCCAGTTTGGTATCCTGCCTCTCACGGGGATTTCGGATGCCTCAACGCCTGTGATGAGAAGACCAACGCCTGTGAAGAGACGACTCAACGCCTGCGAAGAGACGACTCAACGCCGGCGATATGTTATCCCCTAAATATTACATGATTAACTAAATGTATTTTTTCCAGGTACTCTCTGATATGCACTTACTGTAAAGCTTCTTTAAAACCCTATGATTGTTAGCCAGAGGAGAACTGGCCCCTGACTAGCCTGGGTTCTCCCAAGGTTTTTTTCTCCATCCAATCTGATGGAGTTTTGGTTCCTTGCCACTGTCGCCTTGCTTTTGGCTTGCTTAGTTGGGGATATTTAATATTCAACAATATTATTGAACTGTGTTGTACTACTTTCATGTTATCACTGTGAAGCTGCTTTGATGCAATCTGTATTGTGAAAAGCGCTATATAAATAAATGTGACTTGACTTGACTTGAGTAACGGACGGTGTGTGTGAGTGTGAGTAACGGACGGTGTGTGTGAGTGTGAGTAACGGACGTGTGTGTGAGTGTGAGTAACGGACGTGTGTGTGAGTGTGAGTAACGGACGTGTGTGTGAGTGTGAGTAACGGACGTGTGTGTGAGTGTGAGTAACGGACGGTGTGTGTGAGTGTGAGTAACGGACGTGTGTGTGAGTGTGAGTAACGGACGTGTGTGTGAGTGTGAGTAACGGACGTGTGTGTGAGTGTGAGTGACGGACGTGTGTGTGAGTGTGAGTAACGGACGGTGTGTGTGAGTGTGAGTAACGGACGTGTGTGTGAGTGTGAGTAACGGACGGTGTGTGTGAGTGTGAGTAACGGACGGTGTGTGTGAGTGTGAGTAACGGACGTGTGTGTGAGTGTGAGTAACGGACGTGTGTGTGAGTGTGAGTAACGGACGTGTGTGTGAGTGTGAGTAACGGACGTGTGTGTGAGTGTGAGTAACGGACGGTGTGTGTGAGTGTGAGTAACGGACGTGTGTGTGAGTGTGAGTAACGGACGGTGTGTGTGAGTGTGAGTAACGGACGTGTGTGTGAGTGTGAGTAACGGACGTGTGTGTGAGTGTGAGTAACGGACGTGTGTGTGAGTGTGAGTAACGGACGTGTGTGTGAGTGTGAGTAACGGACGGTGTGTGTGAGTGTGAGTAACGGACGTGTGTGTGAGTGTGAGTAACGGACGTGTGTGTGAGTGTGAGTAACGGACGTGTGTGTGAGTGTGAGTGACGGACGTGTGTGTGAGTGTGAGTAACGGACGGTGTGTGTGAGTGTGAGTAACGGACGTGTGTGTGAGTGTGAGTAACGGACGGTGTGTGTGAGTGTGAGTAACGGACGGTGTGTGTGAGTGTGAGTAACGGACGTGTGTGTGAGTGTGAGTAACGGACGTGTGTGTGAGTGTGAGTAACGGACGTGTGTGTGAGTGTGAGTAACGGACGTGTGTGTGAGTGTGAGTAACGGACGGTGTGTGTGAGTGTGAGTAACGGACGTGTGTGTGAGTGTGAGTAACGGACGTGTGTGTGAGTGTGAGTAACGGACGTGTGTGTGAGTGTGAGTGACGGACGTGTGTGTGAGTGTGAGTAACGGACGGTGTGTGTGAGTGTGAGTAACGGACGTGTGTGTGAGTGTGAGTAACGGACGGTGTGTGTGAGTGTGAGTAACGGACGGTGTG